TTGCTTTTGTACACATGTGTTTTCTCATCATTGTACTTCCCATTTCCAGATCTTTTCTTCCCCTTAGGTTAAGCTATGACTTGCTCAGAATAGATTTTCTGAAACGGTTATTAAACTCACCACCTTCCCTTATAACAGCTTTTCTTGAAATGTTGTAGTTTCCATATTTTTCTAGCCCAAGTCTCTTCATTCAAACTGCTTTGAGACCTCATTTCATTGTCTGTTTCCCCTCAACCTTAAAGTAAGATTTCGCTTTTTTTCTCTCTACTCTATAGCTTCTCCTCCAACCAGTCCCTCACTACTCACAGTGCCTGACACTTCCAGACAATCACAGGCTTGCATTCTCCCTCTGTCCACATGACCTACTTCATATGTTGTAACTTTAGAAAATACCAATGTAACTCATCTAAGCCCCTGTTAATCAGAAAGTAACCTCTAATTTGTATTCTCTTCTGATGTTCTCATTGCAGGAGTCTGTTTGGAAGCAAATGTTTTTTTAATGGACTTGCATCTCCTCACCTTGATCAGGATTAAAGGACGGAGGCCACTCCACCCCTTCCCCTTCCTCCAAACCCCTAACCCCCTCCAGACTCCCAGGGAATACCCTCTGCCCTACAGGATTGAAGACTGCCTGGCAGCCCTCCCAATCCCACTCCTCCTGTTTGCCAGGGAAAAGAACCTGAAGACTGTGTGTGGTTGGGAGGGGAGGCAGACAGGAAGAAAACATGTCCAGGCCCCTGGTTTCCATAGAGAATGGTGCTTTGTTCAAGGAAACACGAGTTTCTGATTTTCCAGGAGCAGTTCATTGGTGAGGTTGATGGGAAGACTTCCTTCTCAAAGAAAATGAACCCTTCATTTGGAATCTAGAAGAGTGACTGGGTGTGCCAAAATATGCCCAGGGTCCTGCCCTCAGCACTAGGTTTGATGGGGCCAAGAGGGTCCAAACCCCTTGCTAACATACCACTTTTTTGTTTAACTCCTTTACCTTGCCAGCCCTTTGAGGAGGGACCATGAGAACAGAAATTTCCTTATGAAAAGCTTTTCTTATTCTTGCTTTTCCTTCTTACATATTTGACAGTTTGTTTCCCAAACCTCCCAGAGGGCTAACCCCTTCCACATCCCGGCTGCCTACTTTCCCCAGTGGACTTGCCCCTCCTACGCAGAGAAAGCAGTGAGGTTGCTTTCTGCTGGGGATCCCTGCAGAGCTAAGTTACCACCCTCTGCTTCTTCATGCTTGGTTGCCTCTTGCAATAACCAGCTCTGCTAGCTGTTCCCTTTCCCCAGGGCTTTGCCATTTCACACGTAGTTAAGCCCTTCCCCCAAGAAGGCTGCTTCCTTGTTTTAGAGGAAGGTACTGCCATTGGGAGGGTGGGGACATCGGACCTCAGCAGTGAAGGACCCCTGTGAAGTACTAGGAGTGGGGAAGGAGGCAAGGTGGGCAGGATACAACCGATTTCCATAGGCTTTTTGTTTTTCAGGTTTGATGTAAGCGTGGGCTTGCATCCCCCAGGTACTAGTTTCGCTTATTGTGGGATAGCCTGGCACTAGTAGGTAAAAGTCGCAAATTTGGTGTCTTTCCACCTTTTCACTATTGACTTAATAGATCCCCTTGCTCTGCCTGGGGGTACTTCCTTCCTCTGATAAGGAGCAGGGAAGAAGTGGAGCCTGACTTGAATGAGCTCAGCGTTCTAAGGACCGCCAGCCACTCTGGGGGCCATTTTCCACACAGGCACATGGAATTGCTTTTCCTATAACATCTGAATTGTGATGTTCTTGTTGCTGAGGGAAGAAGCGGCAACAGGGTCCTGCAGTACCCATGGGGCGATGGATGCTCTTTGTGCGTGCATCTACAGGGCACATGACATCCAACACAAGAAGAGACGTGACATGTGAGATTCAGGGTCATTGGAGACCCTTCTGGCTCAGAGGGGAGAGACTGAGTTGGACTGAACCCTTCCTCATCCCTGCACGTTTCTGATACAGCCCTCAGTCGGTCACTGAGGGAGTCCCCCCAGGGTTGGAGAGGCACATTCCCTTGGGACAGAGGCTACAGGTTTGTGGCTCTTTTTTTCCCCCTGTCCCAAATCCCACCCCCTCCTCCACTTCAGAACCTGGCACCCCACCCTGCTGGCCAAGTGTTAAGTGACGTGCTTATCCGCGAGAGCAGCTCCGGGTGTCTTTTTTTAAATGTAGAGAAAACCAAGTAAGGTGACAGTGTAAGGAAAAGAATTATATAGAATACCAGAAAAGCTGTTTACCCGGAGAATTTTTTCTCCCCATTTTTGTTTTGTTTTTATTCGACGACACAATTTTTAGTTTTATTTCCTGATAGCAAAAGGAAAAAAACCCAACCCTCAAAAAGGCCAAGGCCCCGTCCCCCTGTTGTCGGTGATTTGTTTGTCTTTCTGATAGGTTGAAAATTGTGTAATAAACTTGATGACGCTGTCAATCTTTTATACTGCATTGTATTTTTTTCCTTTTGTAACAAAGTATTTTTAAATAATAAATGGGGTGTGAGCTGTTTTATGGATTCTGCATTGAATAGATTTGTTGAGGTGTCTGGGACATGGGCATGGGCTGACGTAGAGGCTGCGGGATGGTAGGGAAGCCCTGACTTCTTAGCTGGAGTTGCATGGGGGGGTGTAGTTACCTGTGGCACACCTCCTAGGAGGCCCCTAGCGCCCTGTGAGGGTGAGCTTTCTTTCCCTTAGCCACCTGAACAGCCTGGTTAAAGAAAAATACTAAGTCATCCTTTACCAAGATTCCTAAGATTTATTCTTACAGTTCAGTCCCGATGTCATCAAGTTCAGGAAAGGAAGAATCCTCTGCTAGGAGTGAGAAGCTGTGCTTGCTAGTGCCTGCTTCCATCTATTGATCTGAACATGGACAATCTCTACAATCTAGAAATCTATTTTTTTAATGCCCCAGATGACTTACATAAAGTGCGAGGACTGCTAGTTTAGAGAAGTAAGTATTTTCTTCAATTTTATCTAGGAAGTACTATGGTGGTATAGAAAGGGACTGACCTTTGGATACCTCTAGGTTTAAATTCCAACTCAACCTTCTTCAACTGAATGCCTTTGGTCATGAGTTGGTTAAAATGGGACTCGATTTCCTTCTGCCTCAGGGTCTTTGTGTCTGCCAGGCACTGCATGAACGTTAGTCTCCTACAAGTTGCTGCCACAGCCAGGAACCTGAACCTGTGTGTCCTAAGTGCTTCCTGAATGGGGTCAGACCTCAGGCCCTAGAAACGACCGTGCAGTCACCTGACAGTTCCAGCCATGAGTGAATTTCTGAGCAGGCCCCTGCCAGCTCCTGTGACAGCCTACTCCTCAGTCCCCTCTGCTGTCTCAATTCCAGTGCCTCCAGGTCTGTGTTGGCCGTGGAGTGGCTTCCTATGGCACCGAGTGATTACCGCCTCTAGCCATCTTAACCCTGAAGGACTAGCTGTGCTGATTCCTGTTCTCTGTGACCTCAGCTTCTGCTGTGTGATGTCCTACTCTGGTGGGACTAACTGCATCCGCACAGGTGGCTCCAGCAGCCGGCAGGAAGAATGATGGTTTACAGAGCCATCTGTGGGAAACAATGCACTGAGCTCCTGGACAACCATGAAGTACATGAGGGGACTTCGCATCCTATCATTTTCTCATTTTCAACCATTCTCATCTTCAGGTGGTAACCTCCTGAGAAATGAAATTTAATCCAGACTGAAACTCCTAAGACAAATTTTCTAGTGCCAGCTGCTAATAACCAGTTGTGTGATAACTTGGCTGTTATTTCTTCATCTCTAATTCTGCCAAATGACAGATTAGGTTAAGAATTGATTTCTAAAGTCCTTTTGAATTATAAGCCACCTCTAAACTTCTACCTGAGCCTCCCATTCATTTGTCTGTGTTGCTGGGAGGGTGACCCTAACCACTGACCCTCTAAATGAACAGGGAGGCCATGGAGAATGGGTGCCTCTCCAGCTTAATGTCAGCAATTTCTTCAAAACAGGGCTATAGAAAGAAGCAGTGCAAGAAGCAACAGAAAATCAAGGTAGTAGTGGGGTTTGTGACTGAAACATCAGGAATGTTCCTACTGGATTGTTTGATAGTTTCATGGTTGATTAGACCTGTCTACTATGGCTTTTGGATAGACCCTAGAGGCAGATAGGAGGCAAGGGCACAGAAAGGATAGAAAACAAGAAAAAGCATCAGGGAATTGGACAGTGGAGACCTTAGGATAAGACTGAATCTGGTCACAAGAAATAAGCAGAGTTAAAAATCAGCATGGAATGCTTAAAGGCTAATTACTTTTTACTTTGAGTAAATACAGATATTCTAGGATTCACCTCACAGAAGGACACTTGAAAAAAAGGTTTTCTAAAGCAGTGGATTCTGTCATGGCTCCTGGTGGCTTCTTGGGGCAAAAAAATAAAAAATTGGCCACTACCAAGCAAGCTGAGAAAGTTTTAAAGATGATTATGGAGAATCCAAATGGAGAAGGGAATGATATACTCATCTTAGGCGACATTTCTCTGGCTTAAAAAAGCAGAAAAGTATGTGTTGCTTTCACGTTAATTCAAAATTTTAAAATAAGTGACCAAAAAATATTAGTAAGTTTAGAATTTACTTCTTCCAATTACTCGTGCCTCACCCTGGAAAGGAGGTGACAATTATCTGTAAGAGGAATCTATGGCAGAGGCGAACAATGTAAGCAGTTGTCTGTAGGACGACAGACCTGAAGAAGATAAAAAGCTGGCAGTGTCTTTAGGAACTAATTCAGGCTGGAACTGCGGGAAGAAAATCAGTGGCACATCCGCTTCATGGCTCTGGGTTCACACTGGATCACTAAGCACAGCCTGAAAAACTGCTGGGATAGCCTCCCTTCTCTCAGAGTGGATGAATGTCTAGGGACAGGCGCCATAAGGAAAAAGCTGCACAACAGAAAATACATATTTATTATAAAATAGCATTTGTTTCATGATGAGAATAGAAAAATAACACTATCAGCTAGTAAAAAAGTTCTGGAGCTCAGTCTCTGAAGAATAAGCATAAGAGGTTTTTGCGTCTCTTGGAGCACACCACCCCATGGCTCTCCATGCTCATGCGCGACAGGTGTGGCACAGCACATACAGGGTGCAGGGAGTGTGGCTCAGATCCTGCCGGAAGCCCAAGGAGCCTACATGGTCCACACATGATGCTCCGGCCATGATGATCAAAGAGGAGAACTTGAGGTCAGCAGGGAACTGGTTGTGAGAATGGCCAGGAGGGGGACAGCCGTGCCCTTCCCTATACTGGCATGTAGAAGAGTCTCTTAGGCTGATGGTCCTGTTTAGAAGATGGTGCCCAGTGGCCTTATGCTCGGTTTGTTGCCCAAATATATGCTGAGGAAAAGCTGCAACTTTCCCCGAGACCATTTGACCCACCATTTCTCACCGGTGTGGCTGAAGTACTAGAAGTCTGTGTGGGCTCAGCCTCTGCGGGCTGCTTGCTGCAATTTTTGTACTTTAAATCCTGTCCATACTGATGGAAGGAGGGAGGGAGGGAGGGAAGGAGGGAGGGAAGGAGGGAGGGAGGGGGGAGGGAGGGAGGAAGGAAGAAAGGAAGGAAGGAAGGGAGGAAGGGAGGAAGGGAGGAAGGGAGGGAAGGGAGGAAGAAAATGTTAAAAGACCAGTAAACAAGGGCAGCTGGCCTGAACTGTTCTATATTCCAAGCCTCCTGGCCCCAAAGAACAAGGAGAGTGTCTTCCCTAAGTAGGTAACTGTCTATCCTAAATGGGGAAGGCAGTTCCAAAGACACCCTTTCCCCTTTAAAAAGTCCACTAGATCCCACAGGCTGCAAAAGAACAATGAATCCCTCCCTCGCAAGGGGTGGGAACCCAACCCTCAGGTGACCGAAAATGGTCCCTCAACAGCAGTACCTGGAGAAAGCGGCCAGGGTTAACACCTCAAGCAGCAGCTCTGATCCACAGAAGAAGAGCAAGATGCCGTTCATGATGGCTTCCAGGCGGAGCACATAGGTCTGCAGCAGCATGTAATAGGAGGCCATCACAGCAGATGGGAAGGTCAAGGCCACACTAATAGCAAGTGGCATCTTTCGTTGGCAGAGGTTTCCCTTTGTACCTGTAAGACACAGCCCACGGAGTCGCCTCCAAGTGGCCAGCTTTCCCTGGCCTCAGAGGAAAGGCTTTGGAGGAGTTTAGGGATGGAGCCATTCACTCCAAATGTCCTTCTTCGTCTGGCTCCTATTCAAGGGATGCTGGGCTTGCTTTGCGGGGGGGGGGATTTTTTTTCAATTATAAGAATAACATAATCATTGAAAAGTCAACTAATAAATAGAAAATGATTTTAGAGACTATAGAAACTAAAAGACCCATGCTCACTCCCTGGAGACAGCTATTATTAGATGTATACTGTTTCAGATTTTTTTATGTGTATGTACTCACATATCACTATTTACTATAAAGACTGTACCATACTCTAATACTGTCTTGCAACTTCTTTTTTCCTATTTAATATAAGTTAGACATCTCTCCACACACAACTGCCTTATTCTTTTTTAATCGCTATGAATGACTTCACTGAACTAATACCGTAATTTATTTAATTAATCCTGTACTCATATGTGTTTAGGTTGTCTCTGGTTCTGATGTTACAAAATATGTGGCAACAAACATTCTCACATAGATATCTTTGCATACCTGTGGAAGAGTTTTTTCCTAATCAGTTTTAGAAGTAAAATTTTTAGGTCTAAAAATAATTTTACACAGAAAAACTATTAGCAAAAAGGATGTACTGCCCTGGCCAGTGTGGCTCAGTTGGTTGGAGCATCATCCCATAAACTCAAAGGTCGCAGATTCAATTCTTGGTCAGTACACATGCCAAGGTTGTGGGTTCAGTCAGAGCATATACCATAGGCAACCAATTGATGTTTCTCACATTGATGTTTCCCTCCCTTCCCCTCTCACTAAAATCAATAAACATATCCTTGGATGAGGATTAAAAAAAAAAAAAGGATGTATTAATTTATATCCCCAAAGAAATTGAGAATGTGTGGGACTATAGAGACCTGTTCCTCATGCCTATTCTCTTACTGGGTACTGGGAATCTTTTTAATCTGATGGATGAAAAATGTTCTCTTGTCGTTTCAACTTACTTTTTATTAGTGAGTATGGGCATTTTGTTATGTTTATTGGTTCTCTGTAATTATTCTTACGTGAATTGCCTATTAGTGTCCTTTCCCAATTTTTAGAATTAGGTTGTCTTTTCCTTAGTGATTTATGTGAACCTGCTTTATCCTTTGTTATATGTCTTGCAAGTTTTTTTCCTCCGTTTGTGTTTTAACAGTTTTCAGAGATAAGATATTCTAACTCATAAGAAATGTGCTCTATTTCTGGGGATATAAAGCTTGTCCTAAAGAAAGCCCTGTTCAGAGAAGTGGAAGGGAACTTAGTGCTGATCTGTGCAGGCACATACTGTTCTGGGCACGGAGTTCCATCTGAACCTATTCTGCCAAGCAGACCAGTGAGAGGAACCAGGCACTTTTATAGTAGTTGGGTAACTGGGAAGGAATTATCTAATAATCTCATGCTACTGCCCTCATCTAGCCCACAGAGCAACAGGCTGGTAAATCTTGACCCAAAATATAAAGTAGTTTGAAACCTCAGAAAGGGAGTAATGGGATATGCCACTGGATCCAATCTCTCATTGTGAGCCTAGGTTATATACTTTTTCTTGTTAATCAAGTTACAGATACCAGCTCATCTCATAAGGAATGGAAATATTCTCTGGACAACACCCACCAAAAAACAGTCGAATCACTTCAATTCCAAGGTAAAGGAGGAGCATCACCACATCGAGTACTAGATTGGCTGTTGGATATGGTAGCAGGAGACCTGCCAATACAAAAGCCAGAGTTTGCAAACAACATATGACAGCACCCACAAGAACGCTCACACACTTGGGAATAAAGAGGACAGGAGTCTTATCAGCATTCCACGAATTGGTTAGTGAGATGTGGGCAGGATCTGTTAACCTGCTGCAGAGTAAGTTAACTCATGATGCGACTATGGCGGCTAAGGGCAGGCTCATTACTCTGGGGTTTTACTCCCAACTCCAAAAGTCTGTGGGGACTCCACTGTCCAACATAATCAGATGTACAGAGGTTCACAGGCGGCTGAACAGCTCTGAGGGTCACCAATGGGGCTTATAGCGGAGTTCACAGTGATGACGGGGTGCGGGTGGGAGGTAGTCAGAAGGGAGAAGTCCACACTCCCAAACTCAAGAAATTCTTGCTGAGAGGTTTCTAATGAAACATTCTCAAGGAAGCCTCTCACCACCTTGCAGTGAAGAGGAGTTGCAGGAGGGAAATGGGCTGAAGTGAGGAAGGGATCTGGGGGCAAGGGTGCCTTACCTTTATACAGAAATATGAAAAGTTCCAGCAGGAAATAGGTAGCATAATACCACCCGTTCAGAAAGAACAGAATTTCCAGGGGGGTGGAGGACAACCGCTTCCCTGAAAAGAGGAGCACAGAGAAGAGGGATGTGCCGGAGGGCAGCTCAACCTCTTTGCACGGTCCGTGTCTAACTTGGAGAAAACCCGAGGTGGTCGCAGCCAAGAGGAAGGGCCGTTCGGGGCACTTGTGGTTGCTGATAATGGGGGCGGGGGGGGGTGTTGTGAGTATAGGATGTGCAGGGGGCTTCATTCAATCCCGATCTTCCCCTGAAATCACGGTCAAACTCGACCCTTTCGGCATCGGGGGAGAAAAGTCCCCCTAAGATCTAACCACGTCAGTATTTGGGAGGGGAAATCGGGGCGCAGAGATTTCCCCTCTGGCTTCTTCAAGCTCCCACAGCAAGCAAATTCGTCACTGAGAAGGCCTAGAACAGGCCCAGCCAAGGATTTGGGGGTATTTGAAACATCCTCACCTCGAGACCTCTAGGCACTCGGAGTGGGTGAGGCTGCGAACCGTCCCCCGCCTCCCCTCTTTGGGCAAGCGAGGAGCGATGTCACTAACACCCGAGAATCAAGGGTTTAGGTCGAGCTCTGGGAGAGCAGGGAGAAGGGGGACTGAAGGGATCAGGAAGCGACTCACACACCTCCAGAATCTCACCTCGCGGCGCCATCTTCAGTCCCCATGGAAACTGCGTACACGGTGCTGCAGCTCCCGGAGCAGTGAGGTGCTGCCGGAAGCGGGGGACTGAGCGGCCCTGGCTCCTGGCCCCTCTGCCCGCCCGCGGCACTCTATGGTGAATGTGACCCGGGAGGTCTCAGGGCCGTCGGCACGCGTGCGCAGAGACGCGGACAGCCAACGGCCTTCACAGAGACTTGGAGAGAACCGTGGTCGTCCGCGGAATCGTCCGCTGGAACCCGGGGCAGGGGTAGCTCTTGGGCTCCCTTCCCCCGCCCGGGTTACAGTGCATTGGTGGAAGTGGCCAGTTGTGACAGTGACCGCAGGATTGGGACGTAGACCTTAGCCCCTACGATTCTCTTTTCTGACAACGGCCTGCAAATGAGAACCGGTGTGCGGGACGGTGCTCAGCAAATGCGGGATGGGTTAGGGGCCTTGTCTAGCAGACAGTCTTTTAGGGGGGTTAGGGGTTTTTGTGCGTCGAATTATGTACCAGCTAATTAGAAGTCAGAATGAATCAAAATGAATCAGAACCAGAGGGTTCTTCCAAGGAGCGCAAATCAAAAGACGTGAAGATAAACGTGATTAACACCTGACCCCTAAAAATCGTGCAGAGGCAATTCAGAGGAAAAAGTACTCGCGGCAGGAACTGAGAGAATTTTCCAGGAAATGATCTGTAAACTGGATTTTGAAGCCTGTATACGATTTCGAGCATTAAAATGCGTTCCTGCCAGGCAAGGGCGTTTTAGGTGGACTTGCGCTGACTCTGCTGTTGGCCCGTTGTCAGTCAGGATAGGACAGGGATCAGGTGGCACACACAAACCAGGTTAATTTGAGTAGAGTGACTAACCTCTAAGGGCAGTGCTGTGTACTCCTAGCTGCGGTGGAGATGAGGCAGTAATTGTTAGAGTACTTCGCGGGGGGAGGAGGAAGGAGCAGAAGTAGTCCCCTGAACCCGGAGAGAGTAATTTGCGTGTGTCTTCTCATTTGGGGTAAGGGTGAGAATGTCGCTTTTAAGAAGGATCGATATATCTTGTTAGTAGGAATATAACTACTAGGGAAGTTCAAATATGTGTAGAACGGTGCATATGGAAGCTGAGCAGGCAAGAAGATGGACTTTGCTATCTATTTTTTGGCTTTTAGCTCCACATTGCCCTTCAGTACTTGTTTTGCCATAATGAACGGGGCTCTTAGGCATCTGTCCCTTACAGTGAACTTGATGGCAAGCTTTGTCAGTAGAGGGCACTGGAGGGACGTTGAAGCCCGGAGGAAAGGGCTTGTCTTCCTGGCTCCAGTGACCTCTGGTTTGCTTTTCCTTGCCGCTGCACCGTGATCTATCTGCAGTGCAAGTGCATGAGGACACGAGGTGGCGCTCTGCTCCGGCTGCGCACGGAAAACAGGCTCTCCCCCGGGAGCCTCGCATTACTAGTCGAGGCCCAGCAATCGCTTTGCTGTGGGTCCTCCAGTCAAGGATACTGCATACTTCCGGCCTGGCACCTGTGGCAACATAACTCCCTAAATCTGTACCTGCCCCCTCCGCCTTGTTTTCTTATGCCGTGGAGAGTTTGTCCCAAAGTCCTCCAGGCATGGACACCATGTACCCACAGCAGTGCCCCAGCTCCCTCCCTCAGCTCATCAACCTTGGCTACTCTCCCCAGAGGGTCCATTTCCAGGGTCCTCCATGCCCTGTGTGGACACACATTCCAGTCCTCATGCACACAGAGCTCCAACTCTTTTGGTGCACTTGCCCCCCAGCCTTGGCTCACCTATGCAGAGGTGGGTTTACTGGGATCCAAAGTGCAGAGTGTGCTCTGGACCTGCTGCCTGCAAGTGATATCTCTGTGCTCCCTGCACACCAACCCACCAGCCTCAATCTGCCTGCATTTTGGACGGTTATTTCTTGCCTGGTAACTGTCTGGCCTGGGAAAACTGGTGAGCTTGTCCACCACGTAGTCCGCTGCAGTGAGGTCTGAACCCCAGCCTTGAGGGTGGGGGACCCTGCCAAGTTTGTCCTTCCTCATGTACGGTCAAGTCAGCCTTGAGGTACACTTTTAGAGTTCTCTTTACATTTTATAGTTCCTCTTATAATTATCTTAATGATTCTTTATATTAAACTTGTCATGTTTAAATTACTGTGTGGTTTCTATCTCCTGGTGGGACCTAGACTGAACCACCTAGCTATCTTATTGTTACTTATTTCTAACCCAGTTCTGTTGTCAAAGAACACACTCTTTATCATTTTTAATTAAATTCTTTTAAATTTATTGAAAATTGTTTTAGTAGCCTAGCATATGGTATATATTGGCCAATACTCTGTGAACTTGAAAAAAATTTACATTCTACATTATATGTATAAAGAAATTAATAGGAAAAAATTAAAAATAGTCATTATATAAATACAGACACTATTTCTGATGTGCTCCATTCATTTCAGAGGATCTACTGTATTTTGCAGTGTATGATGAATTCTTTTTGCCCAAATTTTTTAGGGAAAAATAAGGGTGCACATTATACATGGGTAGTACTAATTCAGTATCTACATAGATGTTTTTAATTCTTTTATTTATGCTTATGCATTAAAAGTGTAACTCTAGAAAGCAATAATGATATCCATATGCAAAATAATGCCCTGGAATATGATAATTAGTTTTGTTTCTAAATATAAATAAATGAATAACTGAATTTAAAAATTAAAAAATAAATAAAAATTAAAAGAAAAGATTTGTTTTTCCTGAAAGTGTGGGCCAAAAACATGGGTGTGCATTATACATGGCAAAATATGATGTTTCCATCTATTATCATTTCCCTTTCAGTGGAAGAACTCCTTTAGCATTTCTTAAGAGTGCTGGATTGTTGGCATCTGATAGTTTTCTTTCATCTGAAAATGTCTTTATTTCAACTTCATCCTTGAAGTATATTTTTTGGTGAACACAGAATTCTGAGTTTACTTTTTTCTTTCAGCACTTTAGAGATATTACACTCCCTTCTGGCCTCTGGTTTGTAGAGAGAAGTCAGCTGTTTGTTTTGTCCCTCTGTTATGTGGTGTGTTGTTTTTCTCTTGCTGCTTTCAAGATTTACTATTCATCTTTAGCTTTTAATAATTTGATTGTGACATGCCTAGGTGTGGCCTTTTTCTTTAATCAAGACAGGTTTTTGGAGTATCTTAAATCTGTAAATTTCCATCTTTCTTCAAATTTAGGAAATTTTGGCTATTTAAAAAAATTTTTTTGTGCTCCATTCCTTCTCTTTGCATTCTAGGACTCCAGTTACCTGTATGTTAGACTGTTTGATATTATTAACTAGTGGCAAGGCTTTTTTATTTCTTTAATCTTTTTTCCCGTTCTTCAGCTTGGGAAATTTCTGTTGGTCTGTCTTCTAGTTCATTGACTCATTCTGTTATCTCCTCTTTTGCAGTTAAATCCATCCATTTAAAAATCTTCAGTTACTGTAATTTTTATTTCTGGGGTTTCTGTTTTTCAAAAATCATTTCTTTACTCAGGTTGCCTATTTTTTTATTCACTGAGAACATATTTTCACTGTTGCTTTAATATCCTGTTTGTTAATTCCAATATCTGGACCATCTCAGTGTTAGTGTCAGTTTTGAATGTGGAGACTCTGGTTTCTATTGTCTCCAAAGAGTGATAGTTTTTATTTTATCAGGTAATTAGCTTGGTTGGATACATACTGCAAACCACAGTTACTGGGCGGCAGCAACAATCTCAGTTTAGATCTTGTCTTTAGCTGAGCTGCTTGAGTCTGAATTGCACATGTGTGGTCCAGAGCTTGGGCAGGGATATACACAGACAGAATTTGGGGATTCCCTTTCTCTGTGGTTCTTTGCCTTCCCAGATTCCCATCTTTCTTGCTGGTGGCTGTAGTTGTCCTGACTCAGTGCTCTGGTGCTGTGATTTTCCACCAGCATACTCTGCATACCACTTTGCCTGCTACCAAGCTACAAGCAGCAAAAATAAGGAAGTTTCTCTGCATAATTCTCTTGTGAGTGTGGACTTCCCATCAAACTTTCTTCCCTTAATTCCCCAGTGACTTCAAGAGTCTGTTTTTTTAAGTTATGTACAGATTTTACAGTTTTTATTTGTGAAAGGCTCATTCCCACAGGATCTTACTCAGCTATTATTAGAAGTCCGTACGTTCACTTATCTATTTCCTCCGTATCTCCCGCCATTTCTTGAGCATATCAATCATAGTTCCACTCCTTGTCGGCATTCTCCAATATTTGGATTACCTGTTTCTAGTTTCTACTTTTATTCTGGTTTTAAATAACATGGTCCTATCTTTTGACTTGCTAGTGATTTTTATTAGATCCAGAAATTGTAAAAAAAATTATAGTGTCTTTAAATTTTTTCTCCATTCTTTCTTCTGCTAAGTAGACAGAATGGGGGATGATCCCCTTAATCCACTCTTTTGGGGACTATATGTTTTGAAGCTGCACTTGTGATTTTGATAAGCCTCTGTCAACCTGTTTAAATCTGTTTTATCTTGTCCCTAGTTAAGAGCCCTCCTGAGCTTTCAGCTGAAAGCCCTGTGTGCTCACCAGTGCCCACCCCCTGCCAAAAGTTCTGTTCTGCTTTTCAGAGTTTTGAGGCTGAGCTTTTTATAGCCTCTGTCCCTACACAGCTTTGGATTTTGGTAAACAACTTGAGGAGCAGTTGTGTAATATGTTTAAGTCTTCTCTGGTTCCCAACTTTGTCCCTCCATCACTATGAGATCTTTAAGCTCAGCTGACTTCTGTTTCCCAGCTGCAACCCTCTGTCTGGGCAATGCTTGGAGTCTTAGCCTCTTCTTGTTCAAGCCCAGAATCAGCCAGTCCCCCCTCCCCGGGTAAAACCTGTTACAAATTGTCAGTTCATCTTGCTATATGATTCTCCCTACTTTAGAATTTTAGACCATCCAATCTGCTTTACTTCAGCAATCCTTGGGGGCCTTTTTAAAAGTTAGTATTTATATTTTATCTGTTTGTTGTCTAGTTCCTGACTAGAGCACTGATCAACCAGAAGCAACTCCATCCTACTAAAAGTCTCTAATCTCTCAAAGTGTTTACTTTCTTTCTCTGAGCTTTGAAAGCTGACTGTTCCCAATAAATCAATTTACATCCTATCTTAAAAGCATATTCCTACTGCTAAGTGAAAAACAACCCAAACTATTTTATGGCATATTCCCCATAATTACAACTCTGTGTAAAATATATATACATACAGTTGTCCCTTGGTATCTGTTGAGGATTGGTTTTAGGGTTCCTGCAGATACCAAATTCCAAGGGTGCTCAAGTCCCTTATAAAAAATGGCAATGGCATAGCATTGTATATGCATATAACCTATGCACATGCTCCCATGTACAGTGGAACCTCGGTTCTTGAACTCAATTCATTCTCGAAAACTGTTAGAGAGCAATTTGTTCAAAAACAGAATCTCCTCTGCTGCCTGAGGGACACATGACTGTTAATACAGGTAACAACATGAAAGGGTTGCTGGGTAGAGAATTGAGACCCAAAGTTTTGTTTGACCACCAAGACCTACCTTTCTGTGACAACTTGGTCATCAAGAACTGAATTGTTCCAGAACTAAGGCTTTCAAGAACAAAGGTTTGACTGTACTTTGTATCATTTCTAGATTACTTACTATAATACCTAATACAATGTAACTGCTATGTAAATAGTGGATATACTGTATTGTTTAGGGAATAATGAAGTAAAAAAAGTCTGTACACGTTCAGTACAGACAAGGACGGTAGGCCTAACCAGAGTACACATCAGCAACAATGTGTCTTTTTTCCCCTGCAGTTGTTGAACCTGTGGCTGGGGAACCAGTGAATATGGAGGGCTGACTGTATTCAAGGATATGAAATAAATGACTGGGGTAGAATGATGGCAATCTTTTTCGTAAAAATGTTTCTGAAATACTACTTAGTCTCTAAGAACTCTATAAGTAAGTGTGGGTTGTCAAGGAAGGAAGGAGAAGAAACTCAGAGGCAGAGATACTGCAGCGGGAAAATCAGCTGCGTAAATCTTTTTACAACTTGAATTTTGTACAAGGTGGACGTATTAAGGAAAATAAACATATATACATGCAGATATCTCAGAGACTCATAGGGCCACAAAGTGCCCAAAATATCATGGAGACAGGTATTCAGCTGTACTCACCAGCTGCAAAACAGCAGAGAACAATCTAGCCCTGATTTATTTGGAGGCACAGAAAATTGCCTTTCAGGGATATTAATGAGCAAAGGGAATTGCAATATTCCTGCAAGAGCCTTTATGAAAATATTCAAAATTGAGCTATTGATGTCTTTTCTTTTTTTAGCAGATGAAGGGATAGTAGGTAGATGGTAGCTTTGTTAGGACTTTTTAGATGACTTGTTCTGATTATAGGATATGGATCTTAGACATTTTATTTGAACATTTTTCCTTTAAAATGTTAAAATCTTGGCAGCACAGCAGATTATTACCTATAGTCTCTCTTTCCCCAGAACTTTATTCTAGGCTTTCAAATCAGGGGTCAGCATACCACAGCCTGGGGCAAATCTAACCTGTTTGGTACCTGAGCTGGAGTTAGTTTAGCTTTGTGTCCTTGAGCTAAGAATAGAATGCTCTTTTTACATCATTGAAAAAAATTATTTTATGACACGTGAAAATATGAAATGCAAATTTCAGTGTCCTAAAATAGTTCTTTTGGAACACAGCTGTGTTCATTCATCTACGTATCCTTTATGGCTGCTTTCATGCTATAATGTCGAGTAGTTGCCAAAGACCATATGACCCTCAAAATCTGAAATATTTACTATGCTGCCCTTCACAGAAAATGTTTGCCAAGCCTTGAGCTAAAGTTCCTATAACTAACAAGTTTCATAGAGCAACTTTCTGGTGAGATGGCCTGACAATGAATGGCTCTTCCTGAATCTGTGCCTTTGGCCAGGAAAATTTTTCAGGCTTTGCTTTCCCACTCGAACTCTGGGCACAGGCGCATGACCTGCTTTGACCAACAGGAGTCTAAGAGACACAATACAAGCAGAGGCTTGAAATGGAACTGCACACTGGGGCTTGTTCTCCAGTTTTCCTGCCACTGTCCCATGAACAGACCCAGCCTAGTCATGGATGGGTCATGTGAACCTGAGCTGAACAACCCAGTCATCCCAGGTGAGGCCAGCCTAGGTTAGCCAAGAGCCAAGGGTCCCAAGATCATCACAAGCTGCCTGGCTGACCCACACCTGACCACAGACACATGAGCAAGCCCAGCAGAGATCATCCAGACCTAGTCAGATACTCCAAACCGCGACTCAAGAGCCACATGTTTGTTTTACATGCCACTAAGATCTGCTGGTGGTTTGTCACATGTTATTCTGGCAATAGAAAACTGATGCTATGGGCATGCATATTTTAAAAATGTCATTTGCTGAAACAGGCTAAGGAACATTCTTCGTCTTCTGAGCGCAGTTCAGGGCTCTGACGGGAATGGAGTCTGAATAAAGCACAGGAGTCTGTAGCTCCAGGGGCAAGGATGGGGTGTCAGGTTACACCCTGAATTTCTGCAAAAATATCTTGAATGTGTAATGGGACTCAATAAATTTTATCTGTATTTGCTCTGTGGCTGAATCTGCCCACTGGGTCAGGGCGAGGACTTGGCATGCCTCTTAACCACAAAGAGATCTAGACAGACAGACTCCAATGTTTTTGGAAAAAATTCAATTTATTTCCTATTTATAAAATGTAAAAAGAAAAGTGCCTTGGGTATAAAAGCCTCAGTGTCCACGGTGTGGTCAGCCAGGAGCACAGAAACGTCCCCCTTTGGATCATCTGGTCCTTGGGGTGTGTGCGGAGTGCAGGTGCTGCGAGCTCCTGTGCCAGGCTTAGTGGGCAGTTCCCCAGAGATAAAGCCACAGAGCCCTATGAGGAAGCAGGGTTAGAAAGGAAAGGGGGCAGAACTGAGACATTATGTATGTCCCGGAGTCTGTATCAGGGAACACTTGGCATTTGCAAGAGGAGGATCGTCCTTCTTGGCTGCTGAACACAAATGGCCGGCGCCTGTCCTAGGAAAGCCAAGCTCTTCCTGGAGCACAGGGCCAACTACCCCCTTGCAGAAGCACAGACATGGCTTCTGTGAGGAAGGAAGGAAGGGTGTGCACCAGTGTGACAGGTCACCTTCGGACTTGCATGAACTCCTTGCGCAGCCATACAGAGTCCTGGTAGAAGCGAGGGTCGCCCAGCCTCACAGCTGTCCGTTTGTAGAAGTAATAGTACAGCACTGCCGCTGTGGGTGATAAGCAGAAAGAAGCCTCAGGGATGTTCCTGAGTGTGTGTGTAAGTTAGAACATAACCGAGGAAGGCCCAGGGGTCCTACCTCATGATTCCCCAGTGGCCCCCGGCAAGGCAGAGGGCAGTCATCTCTCCCGTTCTTGGTGTGGCCGTCCCGCCCATCCTCGCAGCTGTGATGGGCTGGCAAGCCAGGACCAAGGCCCTCACCACCGGGGCCACGGGGGGACCACAGTGAGGCCTGAGATTGCTCCGGTCCTTACCTAGCCTCTGGAATACAAACAGCGTTTGAAGTCCATCTGTCCAGACAAAGCGGTTAGAGTCTTTCCAGCGTAGGTTCTGAAGGAGACATGAAGAGACAGGGAAAGGTTAATGGCCAGGTAAGGCCCTAACATCTGCGACTGGGTTAGCTGCAGAGACGCCACTTAACTTAAAATCAGGCTAATCTCACCTTTCTTTCCATACCCCCCAAGTTCTGTTTCTCAAAGATGCCTCAAACTCCCTTTAATGTGGTAAAGCGGATATCCTCTTTAACTCTAAGGGAGGAAGTCTGAACTAAGCTATTTATATCTTTCACTCCATAGCCTTGGCCAAGGAGAAATGATACGCATGACCTCCGTTCCTCGTGGTCTCTGTCTTGCTTTGAAAATCTCGGGCTCAGTTCCTGCCAGATAAAGGCTCAGTGCACTCAGGGTTTAATCAGCTTTACAGAACAAAGCCAGGACCTATTTTGGCTCCAGGAACCAGAGCTGAGACGATCTTCCTTCGGAAAGCAGCTAGTGACTGCGGCCCTGCGCTGCTTGTTTCCTGAGAGCTCTCCTTTTCTCCAGGGAATCACAAGGACAGCCTGATGGAAGGTGCAGTCTGAGAAGGTGGCTTTAGTGCAGAAATGACTAGAGAGCCCTGAGGTTTTAATGTGTTCCATTGAAATGAGTACTTGAGAAACACAGGAGATACCCAAAGAGATGGAAGAATTTGTGAGGCAGAAGAAATGTGAAACCATGAAAACTGGGTCTGGCATGAGGCCTCCCTCGGTACCAGAGGGAGGCCTCCTGGAGGGCGGGCCTGCCAGTGTCCGCGACGGGCTGCAGCAGAGGGCATGGGGCACAGGGAGGCACGCAGCACTCTCGCCCGGCTATTTCCCTCGGGCACTGAGGCCTGTAAATACCCTCTATCCTCACCCGCCCAAACAACTAACGAGGAAGCAGATTCAACTTGCCGTTTTAGCCCTGGTAGATCTGTTTGGGGCAAAGGTGGACTGAATGTCCCAGAAGTATCCCTTGACGCTTGGATAAGGTTGTTCTTCAACACATAAGGTGGGGCAACAGTGCCTTAGGACACTCACATGCTTAGCTCCAGGCCAGACCACACCCATTTCACTTTTTTTAATTTTAAGCAAGGATTCTGTGAGATGTACAAGAATAATGCTGGGTTCCCAGAAAAATGATGTTCCTAGTCCTTCAGAGATTCAGAGATTCACAGTTCCACTCTTACCATGACCCAGACATGAAGGGAGATGCTGAGGGCGAAGTACACAGCTGTCAGGACGATGGTCCCTTTGAACTTATGGAAGAGGAGGTTGACCAGGCCAGCCTGGAAGACGAACGTGTTGAAGAACATGAGGAAAATGATGATGATGTTGAAGAGGATCGCAATATCCTGGATGCTGCAGACATGTAAAACAAAGGACAGCCAAATGGAGGCCTGTGAGGACCCAAGAGCTGGCCCTCGGTCCCAAGGGACACCACGTGGTCTGTCCTTCCCTGTGATATTGTCCTCTGAAACCCCTCACGGAGGGAGCAGGCGCTTTGGGCCCCATGACATGGAGCTAAAGCTGCTCGCTGGCCCCGTCAGTTGAGCGTTAGCCCACACAAGGCTCTCCGGCTCTGGCACTCTTAACAAACCTCCCGCGCCCTTGTGAGGAGAAGCTACTTTCTTCCCTACGTCCAGAAAATGCCAGCCTTGTCTGTCGCATAACCTGGTCCTATCAGGCCTTTTCATATAGCAGAACAGCAATGCACTTCCTCTGACCTTTGTGCGGCTGGTGCCTTGGCGCCATTCAAGTCTCAGTTCCCTCTCTTCAGAAAGACTTTTCTTTAGCCTCACTACCTAAAGTAGCCCTCCCCCCCACCCCAGGTACTTTATATCCACTCTATGACATGTATTACTATTTGGAAATGTGTGTGTGTGTTTTTTTTTAGTGTATTCATTATCTCCCTCCCCTAGAATGGAAACCTCAGGAGAGCAGCAACTTGTCAGATTGACCACTGCAACTGGCACATTGTCTGGCAGGCCAATGAATACTCGTGAAATGATGGAAGACCATGTCTCAGACTATGGTTTTCTGTCTGGAACTTGCCTCATGGAGTCTCTATAAATTATTTTGAGGGCAAATGCCAACAGCTTCAATCTTACGAGATTCATGTATATTATTAATATGATTACCCTTTTACCCTGCCATTTTGCAATCCTCTTTGATGGCAATGTAAAATAGCATTTCTACTCACAGATGCAGAAAATAATAGGGTTAGCAGTCTGACCCTCATTTTCAGTGTGAACTGCTCCTCATATCCCGAACCCTTGTCAGAAGTACGTAAAAGCAGGACCTGTGACTTGTCTATGTACCCCAGGACAGTGTGAATTTTTCCCCCTTAATAGTTTGATATTACTAACTTTAAAATGCAAAGTCATGATTGTCAAGGCCTTCAAACTGCCTGGGTGTAGCTGTCCAGGCCCACGCACTGCACTCACATGAAGAGCACCAGCTGGATGACAGGGGCCACCCGGAGCAGCTCCGAGAAGGAATTGACGAACAGGTCATAGGACAGCAGCAGGAACTGCAGGGACAGCACCAGGCTATAGTTGCTGGTCTGGAGCATCTTCTTCCTGCTCTTTTGGTTCCCCAAGGGCACATTCCACAGTTCCTCAGAAAACAGCTCCTGACTCTGCCCAGTGCTGGGGGAGAAGCGTCTAGTTCCTCAGAATCAGAGCTGTTTCTTCTGCTCTAAAATGAGAGCCTGTTGAGGAAAAAAAATTTAAAAACTCATTAATACAATAAATATTTACTGAGGACCTATTATGGGCCAGGCACCATTCTAGGTGCTTGTAATGCATCACCGAACAAAACCCCCACCAACAGCAAGGAAAAAAATCCCCAACTAGTCACTCCTCATAGGGACCCTCACCCTCAAATCTTTCTCCATGCTAGAAACCTAAGCTCAGAGCTCTTTCTACTCACTTTTGAGTCCGAAGGAATCCAGATTACTACAAAGAGTGACTGTCTGTCTATCTGGTCATGCAATAATACCAACTCTAATGCTAATACTTAGTGCAGCACCAAACCTTCATGTATCACGTACAATGTGCCAGGGACTAGCCTAAGCACTAATATTATTTAAATCTTACAATAACTGCATTAAGGTAGAAGATTCGCTATTACTCTCCCCATTTTATAGATGGGACAACTGCGGTCCAGAGAAATGAAGTAATTTGTCCAAGGTCACACTGCTAGTAAGTGGCAGCGCTGGGATTCAGATCCAGGCCGCCTAGGTCCAGAGTCTGTGAGCTCTTAACTATTGCACGAAGTTGTCTCTTACATTTCTGACAGGCCGATGTGTAAGTAGGAGGGAAAAATGTTGGCACAGAAGTGGGAAGTGGTGTAGGCAGGGAAAGCTGAGAGGAAACAGCTCTCCTGCAAAACTGTGTGTAAGGTTATGGTAACAACACAGTGGGCACCAGGTAAGGGAAGCTGGGCCTGTACTTCCATACATTACGAGACCCAGAAGTTGCTCTGGGGCTGTCCTGTGACCCCTCCATCTGGATTAAGTTAAGATCTGTAAAGTTTTTTACAATTTACAAATTCTTTTCATATTTATTACTTTATTTAATCCTACACCCATCTCGAGCAGTCGCTGTTATTATGTATATGATCCCCATTTTACACAGAGGCTCTGAGAAGTTAAGGAACCTTGCTCACCTGCCCTGCTGGAGAAGTCGCACCTGAGTGCACGGATGGATGTGGTCTCATCAAGTATGGACAGTTGTCACGTACATGCCAGCACCACGATAAACTTATCAATCAAGGTAATTTCCTCTAACGCAACTACTCCGCAAAGTGGGAAAGAATTATCCTCATCCTAAATCAAGGGCACAGGGTCAGAGTTCAAGCCATCCTCCGGATCCAGGATACACAATTAGGTGTGTCACCCACGCCCGTGCTCGTAACCACTACTTCGCAGGCCACCAGAGGGCTGCTGTGCGGGCCCGTTATACAGAACCGCCCGCCGCCATCCCTACGCGAAGGATGGGCTTCTCCTCCGGTTCAGGGCAGCGGGGATTCGCGAGGTAAAGAAGAGAGCTTCACGGTTCGTCCCCTTTGTCCCCAGGGCGCTTTCCCTCACCTTTCCAAATCCACTTTAAAGTGGGGCTGCCTTCGCAAGAATTCAAAACCAGAACAATAACAACCAAAATTCCGACTCCTGCACTGTTTACCTACTAATCATCAAGCAGGCGCACCTGAAAACTCCAACGTCGGTTGTCATGGGGACACCGTCCTGGCTTCCGGACACCGATTTTAAGTTCCGGAAGCAGATGGCGGAGGGGGGCCCGGGGCAGCCTTGCTACCCGCTGGTCCTCGGCTTTCTCTCCCTACTCTAAGGACAGCTGGGTTGCCTTGTTTGGGCCTCCGCTTTCCTTGGGCCCGCCCGTCTCCGGGCTCTCCCAGCCGCTGACCAAGGCCTCCTGCTTGGTTTGCTTGTGGCTTTGCTGAGAACCAGCCCTTGACGAGAGGCTTCGCGTCGGCCTAAACATTTCCTCTTCCACAGGATGGGGAGTAGGGACAGGGCTGGTCGTGAGGGCGTTGCTGGTCTCTGGGGCCCGGGGTGGGAGATAAAACGCCCGCGGAAGAAGTGGAGTTGCAATCTGCTGCTTGGCGTGCTAGGAGAAGGCGATTCCGGACTTCATTTCCCAGGAGGCCGCGCGTGCGACCGGAAGTGATATGAGCCTTTAAAGGGCGAAGTGGCCTCCGCCGGTTCATTCTAGGGCGTTGGTTCCCGGTGTGTGCGGTCTTCTCAGAGAATCACTGACAGGTCACCAAGGAACCTCGGGAACGGCGGCGGGCGCCGGGTGGCAGAGGCGGGTCTCGGAGACCCCAAATCCCGCTGCGTCCCACTGTGGTTCGGGGGTGAGAAAGAGCCGGGCTGGGAGTTCTGGGACCTGGGTTCAAGTGCTGCCTCCGCTGCTACCTTGCTTTGCACTGTCGCGACCCCTCGCTCGGCCTCAGTTTCCTCTTTTAGGAAATGGACATCGTTCACCGTGCCTTTCCTTCCACCGGTGGTGGTTGTAAAGGCACGAAATCTCTTCGAAAGTCGCAGTCAGCACGTGGAGCCTCTCGCCTTAATTTTCACCAGGGTTACGTGGGACCGCCTTGGTCCCAGCAGAGCAGTCCGGGATTGGTGGAACGTTCCTGGAATGCTTCTCGGGACGCCTGATCCGGACCAGAACAGAGCCCGAAGGGCGGGTCTGTAATCACTCTGGCGCTAAGGAGGGCTTTTTTACTTAGCTGCCTTCTGGTTGGAAGAAGCCCCCTCACTCCTCAGTCCTGACTTTCCAGGAGCTACGCTCGGAAGTGAGCGATCCTTGGACCTGAGGGGGGGTGAACGGGATACCTGTACCAGCTCTGCTACTCACCTTGACCAAGGCACATTCCTTCTTTGAGCCCAGTTTAGGACTTGAGATTCTGGATTCCTAAAGCCCCCCGCCATTTATCTGGGAAGGGAGAGCAACAAAATGACTTTGTTCCACCTGTTTGTGGTTCCAAGTTATAAAAGTAACATTGTAAGAGTTTGACATAGAGGCTTTTCCTCAGTCTAAGGGCTAAATAGGAAATACTTGTTGCACTTGCTTTGTTGCGCTTCACAGGCAAAGGGAAGGCAAGACCCTCCACCAACAAAAAGATTACATTGGGCTTTATTGCATACTCCTTTGACTGCTATGGTCTGGAACCAAGCCCACAATATCTCCCAAGGTATGCCTGTACCCATTTCCTATCCCAGGGCCTGATCTGTTTTTGTGCAGCCTGGGAGAATCCTTTCTGCCACTGTGATTGAGGAGAGTGTTAGGTTGGAGACTGGATTCCTCAGATCAGGGTCGACAAACTTCACCTACGGGCCACATCCAGCTCTCCTGAATGGTTTTCACATTTTTAAATGGGTAAAAATGGCACTATTTTGTGACACGTGAAAATGATAAGGAAACTAAAATTTCAGTGTCCGTAAATAAAGTTTTTTTTGGGAACACAGCTATATCCATTTCTGCAAGTATTGTCTATGGCTGCTCTTGCACCACATCAGCAGAGTTGATGTGGTTGTCACAGACTGCATGGCTGGCAAAGACTAAAACACTTGCCATTCTGGCCCTTCACAGAAGAGCATGAGGACTTCTGTCTTAGAATGGCCCCACAAAGCGAGGGGCGAGTGTGAGGCCACACCTGGTGAGCACGTCCTGAGATCAGCACATCACGCTCTTAGAGTACATGAGAGGATATTTTTAGCATTTGGATTGTAATTTTCACTACATTCTTCCCTTTTCTCTGGTTTTGCTCTCTATTTCAGACAGAGGGGGTGCTCATCTGTGTACTGTGAGCAGTATAATATTTCTGTCAGGAAAGACCCCATTGTCCATTCCAAGTCTGTCCCAGGGCAGCAATCCAGGACCTTTCCCAGGGGAGTGGTCACAGTCCTTTTTGAGATATAGTTTCTTTTTTCCTTTAACAAAGGAAAAAATGCTCAAAGTAGATACTGTTTGATGGATGGAGCCTTCTGACCAAGAGGTCCTTCATGGTGACTTAACACTTCTTTGGGGTTGGGGACAGGGGTTAGGTGACTAAACATCTGCTGATCTGAAACTTCCTCTGCTCTTGCAGGAACTAAGGGGGCAGCTCTGAGTTCAGTAGTTGAGACGCAAAGCTTCTGGAAGCTGATGGCATGAACTTGCCCTTCCAGTCTCAAGGGAACTTGTTTCCTCCCCCCCGCCCCCGCCCCGGCCAGACCTCAGGTCACCCTTTATCAGAGATAATTGCCAACTTGGATCACCGCGTGAGAACTCAGAGTCTTTGTTTCTGGTTAGGTGGACACCTGGAGTGGAGAGAGCGGGCTTGGCATAGAGTCAAGGCTACTGAGAGGCCTGGGCAGGCGCAGGCACCATGAGCTTTAGGCTTGTGTTAGTAGTTAGGATGAGATGCCGTGGCAATACTAAGAAAAGTATAATACTTTACTTTCACAGTGTCCTTACATTTTCTCACTTGGCCTTCTGATAACTGTGGTCAAGGAAAAAAACATGGGCCCTGAAGCCCAGAAGATAAGGGTTTGAAACTCCCTGCCCACTTACTGGGTCTTCATGCCAGCTACTTAATCTTTCTGAGCCTTAGTCTCCTCATCTATAAAATGGAGATAACTCTTCACAGGGTTAGTAGGAATAAATGGCATCATGTGTGTAAGGTTCCAGGGTGGTGTCTGCTCAACGCTGCCTTTCATTGAATTATATACTTACTGCCATGCCTTTCTTCCAGTTGAGAAGACTGAGTCCTACAAGTGTTAAGGGGTCTGCTCAAGGTGCCTCACTTCATAAGAATTAGAGCCCAGGCCCCAGCCTATCAGCCTGCCAGTAGGTGTTAAGGTAAGGAATCAAGTGTTTTAGCTCCATGGGAATTCTTGGCTACTTTAGGGGCCTCCTCTTCTCTCTGTTGACTGGTTCAGACCCAGGGACCTTAACTGCAGGAAGTCACAGCGTTGTCTTCTTGGTGTGCGTCCATGGGAGGGTGTGATTTCCTGGAGAACTGGACCTATGCTCCCTACACATTAGCCTAAAGCAGGGGCAGTCCTGCGACTCTGTGCACTTGCCTGCCAACCCTCAGGTCCATTTGCTGGGCTTTTAAGGGCAGCTGCTCGGGGGGCCTGGGCTTTCTCCATGCCTGAAACCAGAGTCTGTTTCCGAGTTTATCAAAATAACGTCATTTCATTTAACATTGATGAGATGCTATAGGAGCTTAACTCTAGCTTATGTCAACTTGCCTGTGGTAGAATTGGTTTCGTTATATATTTTTCACCACAGTTGGAAACTGAAGAACCTACCGACAATGTTAAGTGAGGGCACACGGGAAACTCTTGCTTTCTAGACCATGAGTTCTTGCTTCCTCTTTTCCCCTCTGGACTTTCCCCAGAGGAAGAGAAAGCAGAAGTCTCAGGTATGGGTACTAGCTGAGGGCCATCGCCCAATTCAAGGTGTAGAGTGTGGGGACTCTGGAGTGAAGGCCTGTTCTTACCTTCCCCATCAGGAAGGTGGGCCCCACAGAGTTCACCATCTGGGTGAGAACTTTTCTGTGCAAGTGGGAGCCCAGAGGATTCCTCCCGGCCAGCCTAATAGTATGTGCTCCTTGTTGGTTATGATTTTGCCTCCTGATGTTAGGAGTAAGGGCATGGGTATCTGAGTGATCTAGCCTGGATGTTGGTTCCTGTCCCTCCTTTTCTGTGAGGAGGAGGTAATTCTTTATCTTCTGGTCCTATGAGGGGAGACTAGTCCCAGGGCTCTGGGCCCAGAGCCTTGCATCGGGCCACATCAGAGGAGACACCCCTCAGGTCCAGCCCCAGCTATACTAGGTGTACTGTGTACTAGGGCAGGCCTGCAGTCACTGTCTCTAACCAGCCCACCCAGCCATCAAGGCCTCCTGGGAGCGGTGCCCAGTCTGATGGCAGGGGAACTGAAACAAAAAAACATCCACGCCTCCGACCAAGAGCAAGGTCTTTAGCTGGTGAGTGGGGTGTACCTAAGCCGGCAGGGACATGTGATTGTTGCTTCCAGGAGTGCCTGAGTGGAATGGCTGCAGGATGGTTCTACCTGTCTCTCCTGGCGCTGTCAGCCCTGGGCTTGATGTGCATCCTGTTTACCATCTATTGGATGCAGAGCTGGCATGGTGGCTTTGCCTGGGATGGTACCATATCCATGTTCAACTGCCACCCAGTGCTCATGGTTGCTGGCATGGTGGTGGTCTACAGTGCTGGTGAGTATGAGGTCCGCGTGGGAGATGCGCTATGGCCCAGGCCTGGATGGACAGAGCAATCTCTCTCCAGGCCTGGTTTTTGTCGCTGTTGGGTTCAGGGCTGCGGAGGTTGGGTGGGTTGGGCGGTCTTTGGGCCTAGGTGTCATTTGGAGGAAGTAGTAGTGAGAATGGGGGCATCTGAAGAGGGTAGCCTCACAGATATACTAGGTCAGGGCTTGTCAAAAATTTTCTATAAAGGGCCAGGTAGTAAATATTTGAGGCTTTCTAGGCCATATAATGTGTTAACAACTACTTAGCCCTGCTGTTGTACTGTGAGAGTAGCCATGCACAAACACAAAAACACATGTGTGGCTGTGTTCCAATAAAACTTTATTTTCAGAAATACTGTATTTTGCTGTGCATAATGCACCCTTTTGCCCAAATTTTTGAGGAAAAAATAAGGATGCGCATTACACAGGGGAAGCGCTAAACACAGTTTCAACGCAGGTGTGCATTATACACAGGAGCTCATTATACATGTCAAACTATGGTCGGTGGCGGGCTGGGTTTGTCCTGTGAGCTATATTTTGCCACCCCTGCTCTAGGGAGCAGGAGGCCGAAGCCCTGATAGCACAACGGATCCTCACCTAAAGGATCTGCTTCCTGCCACCGGATCCATCTTTGCCCCATGCATTCAGAGCTGGGCCGTGGGGACCAAGGGAGCCTCTTTTTCCTCGCTTGTAAAATGGGAACGATGGTGACATTGATAATGGCAGCTTCCTCGTGTACTTCAGACATGTCATCCATTTTGCTTGTGAGGGGGGCTCTGTTGCCATCCCCCGTTATACAGATGAGGGGACTGAGACTTAGAAAGAAGTCATAGCTAAGAGGCAGAGCCAGGATTTGGACCGAGGTTATCTAACCTTGCAGCCTGGGGTCTTGGTAACTAAGCTCATTGTGAAGAGGTGAGTTAGATGGAATAATGAGCGACATTGCTTTTAGCGTTTCCTTGTTCCCTCTCTGGGAGGCTGTGTGGGGGGCCGCGCCAGGCTAACTCCCCTCATGTGGTGGGTGCAAGGGGAAGAGGCTGAGCCCCGGGACTGCTCTCTCCTGCAGCTTCACTGGTGTACCGTCTGCCCCAGTCTTGGGTGGGGCCCAAGCTGCCTTGGAAAATCACCCACGCGTCCCTGCATCTGCTGGCCTTCATCCTGACCGTGCTGGGGCTGGTGGCCGTCTTTAAATATCATAACAATCACAATATCCCCAACCTCTACTCCCTGCACAGCTGGTTGGGCATCACCGCCGTCTTCCTCTTCGCCTGCCAGGTGGGTGCTCTCTGCCCACCCTGGGCTCCCACTGCTGGATGGCAGCCATGGGCTCTGGCTGGGGCTTCCCTTGCACCAGCACCAAATATTCCCTCTGCTCACTGCCTAGAGACGGTCTCTGCAGGGCACATCCTGTAGAATGGGCGATTTAAAGGGCCGTGGGAGATTGGGGGTTCCCGCACTCGCCCTGTTCCTGCCCATCTGTCATCCCGGAGTGCTCTGAGCAAGGGAGTTTTAGGAGCCAGGGCTAGAAGGAAGCAGACAAGCAAGGATGGCAGTGTTTGTGGGAGAGTGGGGTTGTAGCTAAGAGTTTCTTGAACGGTTCTTGTTTGCGTAAGAGAAACACACAGACCACACTGCGGAAGCTTGCTGGTGCTGGGGCAATTCCTGGTGGAAGGTTTGAGTTGGGAAAGAAGGGAGAAGGTTCACTGATCGGTAGGAGGCGCTGGTGAGATGGGATGACCTGGAGTGCCTTTGGCCACACACAGGTGGTTCAGGTACTTCTCCCTGTGTCCACAGTGGTTCCTGGGCTTTGCCATCTTCCTCCTGCCCTGGGCGTCCATGTGGCTGCGCAGTCTCCTTAAACCTGCCCACGTCTTCTTTGGAGCCTCCATCCTCTCTCTGGCCATTGCATCGGTCATTTCCGGCGTTAATGAAAAGCTTTTCTTCAGCTTGTGAGTGGGGTGGGGCCCCAACCCTAATATGGAGTGGAAAGGATAGTCTTCAGAAGATGCGCCCTGTGATCATGGGACCCATCCAAGTGTGTGTGGAGGGGTGCCCGGTGCTTGAGGGTGGGGCTTATTCCTGATCAGGAAGGTAATGGTCTTTCTTTAGGTTGAGATTGGTAAGTTGGTTAGTAGGTGTTTCTCCGGCATCAAATTGATTTAGCACCTACTGTGTGTCAAACTGTTCTAAGCACCTTAAATTTAATCCTCTAATTGCCCTACAACATTGATACTATTGTCATTGCCACTTACAAATGGGAGACCCAAGGCAGAGTCCCCTCATAGGTAAAAAGCATTCTGCAGATATTTGTTGTGGCCAGGACTTAGAAAGTATGTCACCATTTTGGATCCCAGGTCCTGGGGAGCTTTCTTACCTTCTATTAGTGGCACTGATTCTCCCACTGGGCAAAAATAGCTAGAAAAGTCCCTCAAGGGCCCACATTGTTCCATTGTCTTCAGGAAAAACACCACCAAGCCGTACTCCAGCCTGCCCGGTGAGGCTGTCTTTGCCAACATCACTGGGATGCTGGTAGTTGTCTTTGGGCTGCTGGTGCTCTATATCCTGCAGGCTTCATCGTGGAGACGCCCGGAGGTGGGGATCACGACTGAAGGACAGGTATGGGCTCCTGGGCTCCTATGCCACCTTGGGGTAGGGCTGGGTCTAGAGAAAGGTCTCCAGGAAAGGCTTAGGCCTTAGCAGGAAGAGACTAACCCAGTGACATGGTGGGAAACCAACTAGCTAGAAAGTGGGCTTAGGCTAGCTGACAGGAAGCTCTGGTGTCAGGCAGCACATCCCAGCTGTCACAGCAGATGCAGCTGCTCAGGCTCCGGGTCTCCTGGCGGCCCATCCACTGGGAGAGGATGAGGGCTACTCCCATCCGCAAAGCCTGTGGTTTCACGAGGGGAAGCATGGCCTTATCTCCCCCAAGGAAGGCCTTGAGGATGATGGCGGGGTCGGAACTTCTACTTTTCCAGCTTTGGGGCAAGCCTGGTGGGATGGGAGCTTGTCTAGCAGGTGCTTGGTGGCAAGTTGAGTGCTTGGAGTGGGCTGTGCCTGTTCTTGGCCACTCAGACATCTGCGGGATGGGGTGAGATGGGGTGTGTATCGGGCTGAGGGACTTTGGACGGGGACTACCCTGTCGGTCGGGCGTCTGTATGAACTGCTCAGCTGGTGTGATGCCTGCAGGTCAAGGGCCACTTCAACATATGCCATTAACCGCTGTGTGTCTGCCTTTCTTTCCAGCCCCTGTTGCATGAAAGGGAGTGAAGCGGGAAGGGGCTCCCAGGAGCAGTCGGGGGCGCAGTCCCCTCAGAAGCTCTGTGTACCTGGGCTCCCGTCTGGTTTTCTCAACAGACTTGCTTTGGGCTCTGGGCCCCAACCTCGCCCCGTCCCCCATGCTGGGCCTGCTCTCTCCACCAATGTGCTTCCCACGGCTTTTCTTGGTGGCTCTGGCTCCTGTGCACCCCTTCTTGGCATCGGCTTCTGAAGTCCTCCACTTACATGGGCTGCTCACTCCACTCCTGCTGTCTGGCTGAAGTCAAGCTGATTTCCCCTTTAGGCCCCTTGGGATGTGGCAGGAAATCCCAACAGCTCAGATGAGCCGGACTCAAGTGCAATCTGCAACAGGGGAAGTGAGGGAGGTGATGCACCCCTCAGCTTCCTTGAATGTGTGCATTTCATTAAGGCGCCCGCCATGGGGTGGGCTTCCTCGGCCCCCTTACCTGTGCCTGGCCCTCCTGGACGGAGGCTGGGGGGGACATCGGGACGGAATGGAAGGAGAAGGGGAGGATGGCAGAGCAGCTTCTGTTGAGAAGCTGAGGCACTGACTGCTCTTCTCCTGTCTGCCCTCTGTGCCTGCATCCACTGTGACCGTGTGGCTCCACCTCTTCTAGCTGCGGCTACAGCTGGGGTCTGGGTCCCGGCCTGTCCCTGTGACTTAAATGCCCGTCCCTGTCAGGCAGCCCAATGAGCCCCACTAACCTGCTGTCCCCACCTCTCCCAACAGGGATGAGTAGCAGGGGTGCCCCAGACTACCTCTGCTTTCCTTCCAGAGGAGGGTTTCCCTGCCTGTCCCCGGGCAGGTTCAACCTTGCTCTCTAGGCAGGGCCCTTACTCAGCTGATTTTCACTCCAACCCACCATGACATGTGCCAAAGTGTGGTGCTTTGTACCCAGCAGAGCCTAGAAGCCATGGCCACCTTCAAAGGTGTTTTTTGCTGAGCATCAGAGTGCCTCACCGCCCCCGACAATGGCTGCCTGCACAGCCAGCCCCTGCCATGCGCCAAGCTAGCGTGCTGAGCTGTAGCTCTTGCCCCAGGGGAAGTGGGTGGGGAGGGAGGAGTCTGGCTTCTCTCCTATGTGTGGGCACTATGGTTTCTGCTGCCCTCTCCAGAGGAGCCCTGCTGGGTCTCAGGCGCCACGCCGCCAAGCACCGTGACCCCTCGGGTCCAGAGTGCTTACTCGCTGGCCAGTGGCAGTGTGGCCGACAGGCCACCACAGCCCCACGTGGCCAGATGCCGGCAGGATGACTATGACCAAGCCTCTCCAGTGGCTGAAGGCTTCAAAGCCATCGGGGTGACTGCCAGTTACCTCGGTCACATGGTAGGTTGTATGAGTAGGCGTTTCACTTGTGTATGAAGCCTGATTTTCATTAAATATGTTTTTAAGAATCAAAGCCTTTTTTGCTGAGATTGTGCATCAGTGAGCTTTGAGCTCCGTATAAAAGTCTCAGGACAGTTCTGACCCTAAGACCTTAAGAACAAGCCAGAAGTCACCAAAGATCCACATGATCGGCTTCCTGAAGTCATATGCTACTCCTGTATGTGTGGGTGTCCCTAACATTGAGTCGCCTTTGAGCACTTTGTTATCTCACAAGGAAGACAATGTTTCCTGTTTTGTAATTTGGAACACAAAGGTAAGTGACTTGCCTGAGGTTACCCAACCAGGAAGTGGCAGAGTCGGGAGCCACAGGCCAGGTGTCTGATGCCAGAGCCTCCTTCCCAGCTGCTGGGTGTGTGCGTCTGTGTACACTGACAACTGCACCTGTTGGTCAGGGACTGTGGGGTGGTTAATGGACAGGGGACCCTGGCGGAGAAGCCCAGGGACTGAGGGAGCCAGTAGTCAAGTCGGGGCAAAGTGAAGGGGCCCCTCCCTCCCAGTGTGACCAGCAACAGATGCCCCCTGGTGGTGAGCAGAGGACCTGGAAGGACTTGGATGCAGCTGCCAGCGCTAACAGTAACTCCCAGTGAGTGAGTGAGCCCCAGGATTGTGCTCCGGGCTTCACCATCAGTTCATCCGAATCATTTTCCACATCCTCATGAGACGGGTACCGTTCTGATTTTCTAGGTACCAAGAGGCTCAATAATAGGCCTGAGTGTATGTAGTTGGTTTGAAGCAGAACCAGGGTCCAAAGTCGTGTGCATGTGAATCCACACCAGTCCCTATAACTGCTCCCCTGTGCCAAGCACGGGTTGGGTGTGCGCTGTCCTGTCTGCCATGCACCAGACTTGGCAGTGCCTTAGCGAATGCTCTAGAACACCCCGGGGACTGGCCTGGACAGTTTCTGTTCTCCCACTGAGCCTTAACATGGGGTGATTTTCCCCCCTTGGTGTCCCATTTGATGCCTGCAGAATCGGTGGACTCTCAGTGTGGTGCTGAGACAAGCGCACCATTGGGTGCGGCGTGTGCTTCAGGAGGAGGACAGGACTGGGGTCCCAGTGGAGCCCACCCCACTGTGCATCCCGGCCTCTGGGTCTCAGATGGCAGGAGATGGGTTGTAATCACCTTAGGCAGGGGCCTAGGTCTCAGTCCCCCGGGCCACAGCAGGGACACTTGTTCACGCACTGGGAGGAAAGTCTCTCAGAGGAAGCAGAAGCTCTGTGGCCGCAGTGTGGTTTATTAGCTTGTTTTTCCACGCTGGCCCAGGTTCAGGTGCAGAGGGCCTTTCCCAGAGTCTAAAACCAAGCCAGCAATGCCTGTTGGAGGCTGTGCAGCAGTCAGGCACCCTGGCTCTGCAAGACCTCCAGGACGGCGCGGAGAATGGCTGCGGCTGCCACCGCCCCGGGGTCCGGCTGATCCAGGCGTGCAGAACTGATATAACTGGCTCTTCCGGCGCCGGCCTCCATGTTCTTGGTGGCCTGGGCTGCAGCTTCTGCACTCTGGAGGGCCGGGGTGGGGGAGGAGCAGGTGTAAGGACAAGCCACCAGCCTCCTTCCTGCCATCGACCCTGGACCCTCCAGTCCCAGCTCTGCTAGGACCCTCTGCGCTGTCGCCAGGGCAGAGAGCTGACTTCCCACCTGTCTCCAGCAGGGTAAGGGGCCCCATTTGCTGAGCGGCTGCTGTGCCCCAGACACCACGCTGGGCGCTGTTTATCTCTTTAGCTTCACAACACTAGGACAGGTGCTCCTCTCCATTTTGCGGGGAGGAAACTGAGGTATAGGGAAGAGATTAACTTGCTCCAGGCCTGTTTCCCTCGGTGGCTGGGCCAAGCCTCACTCACCTTGACAGCTTTGGTTAGGGTCTGGAGCAGATCAGCCCCAGGTCTCTTCCAGGCTTGGAGCTCCTGTCCTGCTGCCCACAGAGAATCCAGCTGGACAAGGTGAGGGAGAGAGGAGCTCAGCACAAGCCTTGCCATTGAGGGTGGGCTTCAGGGCCTCTGTATTCAAAAGGGGGAAGGGCTGGGCCCATACACACCATAGTTCTGTCCCCTGGGGCAGCCTTCCCATACCTGCAGGGGAAAAGGACAAGTGAGGTTCACTCTAGGGAGTCACTTTGGGGGAGGGGACAGGGCCTAGCTGGCAGCAGGTGACATCAACCACGTAACCCTGTCACCCTTGGTCTGAGGCACAGGGCTCTTGCTCACTTCTGCATGGCTTCCAGGCCGGCGTCCATGGCAGCAGACCAGGCTGGGAGGTCAGTCTTGGCCTTGAGGGGCTGGGCCGCCGCAGTCAGGAACAGGCCATAGAGCTGGGGAGGACCAGGATTTGAGCACTGGAGTCTGGCTTGGGCCTCAGCCAGCCCAGGATCCCTCCGTGCCAGCCCTCCGTCCCTGGGCACTGCCGGCACTCACTGCCCCAGACGAGCCCCCCATCTTCTCCAGCAGCAGGAGGGACAATTTGGAGAGGAGCTGTGCAGGGCTGGCAGGGGGCGGGCTCTCCTTCAGCCACCCTTGGATTGCTGCAGGCAGAGATGGCCAGGAGCTCAGAGACCCTCCCTCCCAGCAGGCACCCAGGCCCCACGGGCAGGCAGCAGGAGTGGGCCCCGGAGGAGGCCGAGGGAGCCCCCGGGGGAGACTCCAAGGCTCCCTCTCTCTCTCCAGTGTGCAGTCCGGAGAACAGTGGGAAGAGGTGACTGACGGGGACCCCGGCAGTGCCCCAGCCGTGAGGCCTGCTGAACTCTCCCACCGGACATTCCCAGGCCTTGCTTCCCTGCTTCATTCTCCTCCACAGCACTTTGCACTACCATTCTTTGTCTTCTAGTGATTGTTTATTATTTGCCTCCCCACCAGAACACAAACCACAAAGGCAGTGATTTTTATCTGCTTTGCTTGCTATTGTATCCAGAGTTGAGAGCAGTGCCTGGCTCGTGATAGATACTAAATACATTTAAAAAAAATATTTTATTTTGCCCTGGTTGGTGTGGCTCAGTGGATTGATCGTCATCCTGTGAACCAAAAGTTCATGGGTTTGATTCCTGGCCAGGGCACATGCGTGTGTTGTGGGCCAGGTCCCTGGTGAGGGGGCATGTGAGAGGCAACTAATCAATGTTTCTCTCACATGTTGATATTCCTCTCCCTCTCTTCCTCCCTTCCCCTCGCTCTAAAAATAATAAATAAAATCTTTAAAAGAGAAACATCAATCGGTTGCCTATCATATGTGACTTGACTGGCGACTGAACCTACAATCCAGGCATGTGCCCTGACCGGGAATTGAACCAGTGTCCTTCTGCTTTGCAGGGCAATGCCCAACCAATTGAGCCACACTGGTCAGGGCTAAATACATTTTTCTTGACAGAATGATGCTGAACAGTTAAGAACTGTTCATGAGTCTGAGAAAGCAGAGAAAAATAAGGACTACAGAGTGAGTTCCCTTTGAATCTAAAGTTACTCTTCACTGCAAAAGGATGCATTTTGTTCTAGAATGTCAACCCTCCCCCAGGGATAGTGTTAGAAGGGCCTTTTCTCTATGAGAATGGGTAGGAGGGGCGCTAGGTTTTGTGAATTACCCTGCTTGGCAAAACAAAAGTTGGGAACCCGTGTCAGCATTCCAAATGTTTCTGAAATTGTTCTAGTTCGTGAAATGCCAAAACCTCAGAATCGATGTGTCACCAGCCCCTCCCTGACCCCAGAGGGACCCTGGTACCCACCTCTGGCAGCGCGACTGTGGGTGGTGCCACAGTCCCCATCGCCGGCGGCACGGTCCAGGGCATTCAGGTGCTCCTCCAGGCCCAGGAGGGCACTGCACACCCGTTCCAGCACAAGCACTGCCCGCTTCGAGGCCAGGCCTGCGGGGGGAGGACAGCGGGGAAGAGGCGCGCCTGTCCCTTCTCACGACTGAACTCGAAAGTGTGGGAGATACGGGGGTCAGGATCCCTGCACACCCTCGCCCTTCAGGGCTCAGGCCCCAACAGCAGGACTTGGTACCTCCTGCAGCAGTGGAATCAGGGGTCTCCACAGGCTCGGCAGGGGCCGCCCTGGTCCGCTTCCTCCCGGTCACGGAGGCCCTGGGCACGTGAGGCCAGGCCGATGCGGTGGTTTCAGCATCTAGTGACAGCAGGATGACTCTCTCAGACACAGGTTGGCTGGCCAGGATCAAGTGGGGCTGTCCCTGGGGAGGACCCTAATGCCAGCTCCTCCAGTCATGTGAGAGCCAGACAAGGCTGGAGAAGTCAGAAAGGACCTGCCGCGGGACTGATTGTCACGGTCGGCCCTGATGGCCTCTCTCCCAGCCCCTGGCTCCTTCCAGCTACGAGGAGCCGTGGCTTCGATGACCCAGGCTCTAGGCCTCACCTATCAGTTTCAGGAGGGGCTCGTCCACTAGCAGAAGGGTGAGAGAAAGGCCTGGCATCTCCAGGGCCGACATGAAGGTGCCCACCAGGGCTCGGGCAATCTTGACCCCACGGCCCTCTGCAATAGCAAAGAACGGACATTTGTGAGGGAAGGTGGGAAGGGCGGGACCTCACCTCCCACTCCTCCCTGCCCTTGCATCCCCCAGGACCCCCACCACCATCAGATAAAGAAACAGAAGAGAAAAACAAGGACTTTGGAAGCTGGGGCCCTGAGGGGAGGGAGACAGACAGGTCTGCTTAGGGCGTTCCTCCACAATGCCCTAAATTACTGCATTCTTTGGCAGAGTCCCTTCTGTAGGGGCAGATGGGTGATTCCAGGTCTCATTTACTGAGCTCCTCCAGGTGCCAGGCTCTGTGCTAAGTGTGTTATGCATGTTTGGTCTCATTTAATCCTCCCAACAACCCTACGAGGCAGGTGCTATTCCTTTGACCCCCTCTGTACAGGCAAGGAACAGGCTCAGTGCTTGCAGCGATTAGGGGGCAGAGTCGTGGTCTAACTCACGCACGTCTGACTGCACGGCCCAGGCTCTGGGCTATCGTGAGACCTTGCCCCAGCTTCAAAGGGCTCGGGGGAAGGAGCTCTGGGGG